ACTGTGTTCCGTAGAGTACAGCTCTCATGGGAATATGGGCACGGAGACCTCGCCCAGCCCTCACGCCGTGCAGTGGGGAGACCCGAGCATGAACGTTCTCGAAATGAAAAGGGCAGACACCAGAGATAAAGAACAGAGGCCTCTACACAAACAGAGGAGCAGAGTTCACGAGAGTCAAAGGGCAGAGCAGTCACTGGCAATCGGGGTCCAGGTCCAGAAGCATAAGGTGCCACAGATCCGCTTAGAAACAGAGAGCACTGCTGTTACACCTGCCAACGGCCTACATACTCGCTGGACAGGTGACAACCTCGTTTCCATATTGTTCAAGGAGTGCAAGTGTAGCAAAATGTGTAAAATCCTTTAAAACCATTGCTTTCACTTGTGCACCCTCTAAATATCACTGGACCCCTTATCTGCGCTGCGGGGGCAGCCATGAGGTGAGGGCTAGTGGATTTATTTGCATTTCAACAGGCATTATCAAAAGATAGAACTAATAATCGCCTCTGGTTTCTGCCCTTTTCATTTCGAGCACATTCATGCTAGGGCCTCCGCACTGCACAGCGTGAGGGCTGGGAGAGGTCTCCGTGCCCATATTCCCCTGAGAGTTGTGTTCCACAGAACACAGCTATTTCAGCAGAATCCTTGGGATTACATAGCTCAGTTGGTTGGAACATCATCCCAATATGCCAAAGGTTTCAGGTTCGATCCCTGGTCAGGGCACATACAAGAATCAACCAATGAATGCATCAATAAGTGGAACAACAAATTGGTGTTTCTCTCTTTCTCCCTACCTCTCTCTAAAAATAAATAAATAAATACATTTTAAAAAATAAAGTCAATTTATCATCAAATTTTCAGCAAAATATTGGTTAAAATATTAATTTAAATTAATAAAATTTAAATTAAGACCAAAAAAGCTAAGAGCAACTTCTCATGATACAGGAGTGGACACATGTTATCTTCAGAAAGAAAGGCAAATGTAATACATAGCTTTCCAATGTTAAAAGTGGATTTGCATTCATTATAGTGATTTGTTTGAACTTAGTAATTGTACCAATTACAAGCAAAACAACAATTTTGCATGATGTCTATGTAGTTGAGACAAAGTAAGCTTGAGGGAAAAAATGCATTCTAAATAACAACTACCATCTCCCGTCAATCCTAACACTAAAACCAGCAAAAAGATATTGCGATCAAATGTTTTCACTGTAAATTCTTTATAACTAAGCAGGTATTGGCTCATGAATAGACAGCCTGATGGAACAAAATGGGAAATCGAGACAGACGCAATGACGGAAGGAAATGTAGTGGACGCTGCAGGCAGCCACCTAAACCAGTGAGGAAAAATGGACTCTTTAATCAATTTGTTGGGATAATGAACAGAGTATAGAAAAGGATAAAATGAATCCATTCCTTATATTCTTTACTGTAAGAAATGAAACCATAAAATCATGAGCAGAGAATATGGATGAATTTGTCTATAACCTACAAGAGTGGGAACATCCCTCATTAAAAAGACACTAAAATAAATGGCCAGGGGAAGAACAGATAGTTCCCAGCGGACGAGGAGCATGGCGACACTTCGCACGGTGCACAGGCACTATCTCTGACTCAGCAGTCCCGCCTCTAGAAGCTTTCCCGTGGGTACAATGGGGAAGTACAAAAAGGCAAGTCCTTGTTAATCCCCTAGGACTGGAGAAAGCTCCAATGCCCACCAACAGGGGGCAGACTGAATCAACTGGGTCTGCCACACGCCAGAGCAGCACGCAGGAGCAAGGAGGAACATACGTCAGCCTACCAAGTGGGCTCCTAACACACTGTTCTGTAAAAAGCCAAGAGAGAAAGAGATAAAAATAGTCACATATTTGTTTATATTTTTGTTTAAAAATGAAAGGATACACCATAAAAACCTATGGGGGAAGGAGTCAGGATATAAGCTCTTTGAATATACCTTATTGTATCGATCTGACTTGGAACCCTTTAAATATTTACATAATAAAATATAAAATAAAGCAATTTCTAAAAATCAAAAGTAAAATGAAACAAGTTAATCTAACTGTATGTCCCGGTGGTGCATAACCACTTGGAAGGGAACTACTCCAAATGACCTAACACACAGTAAGGTGACGGACATTCCCATACCACCCGAAGGACAAAAGAACCACCAACAATCGGACTTTCTCAGTAACCACATGTGGGAGCCGCAGTGTCAGCATCATTCTGTTCTGTGTGCTGTGGGACAAATCAAAGGAACCAGTGTGCTGGGTGGCCGTTAGGGAGATTTCGGCGCGGCTGGAAGGAGATTCAGTTACACAGGTAGAAAAGGTCAGTGTCTCGCAGCCCTGACCTGGTTCTATCAACATGACCTCATACTGGATCTCATCTTTAAACAATGCAGACTTCTGCGCTGGCCGGGTGGCTTAGTGGGTCGGAGCATCATCCATACAACAAAATGTGGTGAGTTCGATTCCCAGTCAGGGCACACGCGGGAGGCAGTCGATTGATGTTTATCTCTCACATCGATGTTTCTCTCTTTCTCTCTCCCTTCCTCTCTCTAAAGGCAATAAAATAAATTTTAAAAACCAACTTCTAAGCTCTGTCTACTGCTGAGTCCTAGAAACAATGGACAGCAAGCTCCTCCGGCACCCAGCCTACGGTCTGTAAACCGCAGGGCTCCTTGGCGACATGGGAACCAGATCTAGGGCAGGAAACGTGCCAGGTGGGCTTGCAGCACCTCGCCACACCCGAAGGCAAGGAAGCTGTCACAGCGCAGGGTCAGGGACGGGGACTCATCCTTCAACCTGAGTAAACTCGCACCGAGCGCAGATGGCTGGGAATACACTGTATATATTACAATCCATGATTCAAATTATAATGTTAAAAAGTCACTTCCGGAAGACAGAGGGATCACCTTATTGAAAACCTTCTCCTCCTGCCCAAATAGAGGCATTTCTCTTCCTCCAGGAACTACAGTTCAAACATGAAGGAGGGACAGAGAATGTTGCCCCTAGTTTGTATGATTTAAAAATGTAGGCAGGCCCTAGCCAGTGTGGCTCAGGGGATAGAGCATCAGCTTGTGGACTGAAGGGTCCCAGGTTCATTCCGGCCAAGGGTACATGCCCAGGGTGCAGGCTCAATCCCTAGTGGGGGACTTGCAGGAGGCAGCTGATCAACGATTCTCTCTCATCATTGATGTTTCTATCTCTCTCCCTCTCCCTTCCTCTCTAAAATCAATAAAGAAATATATTGTTTTTTTTTAAAAAATGTAGGCAATACTCACCAATAGCTAGTAACAACACAGACACAATCACAAGAAAGTGTGTGGCCCTGACAGAAGTCCCCACCTATGAATAAGTCTTGCCTCTCCTCAGAAACCTGGAAATATAACGACACTTGGATCTGACCAAACCTCTCCTGCTCCCCGTTTGCAGGAAACACAAAGGTCAGCCTCACATATTCAACAATATGCAACGGAAATGATCCAACTTTTACAACAGAAAATTAAAGAAAAAGAGAAGGACGAGGGAACCTAAAGATACGAGACACTGAACAGATGTGCCAAGCAATTGTGATGTCTAGGCCTGGTATGAATCTGACTCACACCAACTGCAAAATGAACATGGACACATTTCAACAAAAATGCGTGCACATCACAGAGCCCTAGCACCAGACTGTGCACACCCTGAGGGGGCCACCACACCTGCACCTCACACACCTGCCCACACCCTGGGGAGAGCCCTCCAACAACTGCACCTCATACACCTGCCCACACCCTGAGGGGAGCCTCCCACACCTGCACCTCACACACATGCCCACACCGTGAGGGGAGGCTCCACACCTTCACCTCACACACCTGCCCACGCCCTGAGGGGAGCCTCCACAGCTGAAGTAAACATCACAGGTTGCCAGTGAAGTCAGTAGCTCTGATTCTTAACTTCTGCATGGCAGGGCAGAGAATTAGGAAGACCGTACAAAACCCCCAAAGCCCTCTCAAGGCGCTGGCTACTAGATCCTTCTTGCTGGGATGAAATCTCAGTCAATTAAGAGAAAATTATGTCAGTAACACTGAGGTCTCCACATCTGAAAAGACCTATCGGTGAGCTACCTCAAATCCTTTTGAGAATGAAGAGCAAAAACAATCAACTGACACACCCACGCACTAGAGGAAATCTTACCTGGAAGGTTTACGGACTTTTATTTTTATAGTTATTTACTTAAAGGAATCTTCTCCCCAGAGCAAATTCTGGCTCCATGTCAATACAACATAAAACTAAAGAACAAATAAAACACAGACTCACAGATACAGAGGCAGACTGAGTGTTGTCAGATGGGAGGGGGGCTAGGGGACTTGAAAAAGGTGAAGGGATTGAGAAGTACAGATTGGCAGTTAGAAAACAGCCACAGGGATGTAACGTACAGCACAGGGAATACAGTCAATAATACTATAATAACTATGTACGCTGCCAGGGGGGTATTTGAAATACCAGGGGTCTACTTTGTAAAGTACATGGCTGTCAAACCTCTATGCTGTACACCTGAAACTAATCTACACTAATAAAAGAGAAAGATGCAAATTGACTGTACCTTCGTGGCGCCCACCAGCCAATCAGGAGTGAGTATGCAAATTAACCCGCCATCTTTAGTGGGTAATTTGCATACACAGGCATCGAGTGGCCAGGGGCGGGGCTGGACGCTTGTGTTGTCGCCATGGCAACGATGCAGGCTTTCCGCACCGCCCCAGCCACTCCAGGTCTCTGGGCAGCGTGGGAAGGCAGAAAGGTGGCTCCGGCCGGAGCTGGCAGCCAGGGGAAGGAAGGCCCATTCTTGCATGATTAGGCCTCTAGTACAAAATAATATTGAATGTGAACTGTAATTGAAAAGTAAAATTTAAAAGAAACTGGTTATGTGACCACTCTAATTTCAGCATGCAGTTGTGGAGGTAACTGGAGAGAATGGGCAGGTGGGAGGCGAAGGTAGCAGAGGTGACAGCAGGAGCTCACCTAGTCCTCCCGGGCCCGCCAGGAGGAACTCCTGCCTCCCTATCCGCTTGACGATGGGGCGCTTCTCCTCACTGCAGTAAGGAAACAGGTCCTGGGCGGCACCCGTGCTGTAGTTCAGGATGATGTACTGCGTGGTCAGAGCCAGGCACAGGAAGTGGCCGTCCACCGCCACCGCCAGGGGCTGCTCTGGCGTGGACACCTCCCTGACAATCTGGACCCGGTCCTCGTACACCATGAACACCTGGATGGTTCTGCGTTTCACGGAGATGATGCAGACCTCCACACAAAACGGGTCCCCGCTCACGGGGTTCTCATTCAAGGCCAACGCCACGGCCCCCTTGATGCGGGCCCCCGAGGGGACAGGCTCCAGGCTCAGCATGTGGACCAGGGTGATGGAGTAGTCACAGAGCACCAGCAGTCTGTGCAGGGCCGAGGCGGCTCGCAGCTCACACACTGGCTTCCGGAGGCCCAGGTGTCTGTGCAGCTGCTTGGTGGCCGTGAACGTGGCCGTGCCGGCAGGCAGGCTCTGCTCCTCCAGCAGGAAGTGGTAGATGGAGCAGTCGTTGGTGCCCACGTAGAGGTTCTTGCCGCAGCACTCCACGCACTCGATGTTGACGCGCTCCTTGTCGCCCATCAGCAGCTCCCGCTCCACGGCAGAGACCAGCGTGAAGGCCTTGGTGCTCATCATGCCCGCTGCTGGTCTGCAGGAAGAGGAAAGGAAAACGGGGTTTACCTCACGAGGAGTGAGCAGAGCCATTTCAGGTCACAATAAACATACACTGACCCCTCAGTTACAACTTCGGGGAAGGGAAAGCATTCAACACTGTTAAAAACAGTGAAGGCAAAAGGTTTCCCACTTGCCTCCTCCCCCCAGACCAATGGGAGAGGCCAGCAGGAGAGCCAGCGCTCATCCAAAAGGGGGGCGGGGAGCGCGGTCCATGTGGGCTTCCTCGCTCTGTATAGGAGACACACCTGCAGGCAGAAGAGAAGCACACATATCCCCACAGACAACATAAAACTGTGAAACTGTGTGGAAAAGGCAGAAACGACCCTCGCGATCTTGCCCTGAGTTCTGCATGCAGTGACTGGTGGGACGCACTACATGGTGTTGCTAAACCCTGTCCCGGGGCCCTGTCGGGAACACTGGGCAGGAGCCACACTCGCTTCCCATGAGGGTTCTTCCCTATGAGGGTGCACGTGGTCCAGCACCACAGCTGGCCCCAGAGTAAGTGTCCGTGTGGAGGAAAGACGGGCACATCTCCGCGTCTCTCGGGAGGGCTTGCGAGGTCGCGGGCCTGGCAGGTAACGGCCACTCCCACTAAGCTCACCTGGCTTCCTCTTCTCCCTCTGAAGGGCTGGTGTTTCCACTGCACAAAGACAGGGGCAACGAAAGCGGCAAGATGGCCTTTCCCTGATCTCAGTCTCTGCTGCCCTCACGCAGGAGAGGCAGCCAAGCTCCGGGAACTGCGGGACTGAGCGGGAGGCTTCGAGAACTGTCTGCCACTTCAAGCTGCCCCCAAAGCGGGTGCCTCCTGAGAAACTAAATTCCTTAATCACCTTGCAAAGGCTGGATGAGACCTTGGAAATGTTCAAGAAGATGTATGCATCAGGGAAGGGCAGGAATCAACTCAAAGATTTTAGAATTCTATAATTTCCTATCCCTCTGTCCACTGGAGCGGTGACAGCTACACACAGGGAGACTCCGGTTCCCCTCTGTGCGTCCCAGAATGCCCAGGACTGGGATGAGGTTTCCACTGGCTCCAGTTCCTCCCTATCCCTACCTGTCGCTTGGTAGCGACATGACCTTGGGAAGCTCACTTGGCTTCTACCTGCCTCAGGGCCCTCATCTGTGAGTGAGAGTAATGATGGCGCCTACTTCATTTGGCTCTTTTGAGAAGGCTAAAAAGGGCTAATTCCAATGTAACGCTGATATTTGGGGGGCTAGCAACTGGAATCCATGCCAGCAAGCTCAGTGTACATTCTTGATAACTTATAATTAAGTCACTACCTCCTTCCCAGATACTGGTCTTGCAGAACCTGTTACAGAGGCCATAAAACTGTGAACAGTGCACTGTCCCAGAGGGAGGGTTATTAACGCTGACACCAGGCCCAACCATCAGATATGGCCTGGATACCCCAAACACCTGGGGGCCTTCTTGCAAGGCCCGCGAAAAGGACCAGAAGCATAATCCATATTTGCGGGACAAAGACCACAGGGAGATATAAAAAGAAGTCCCCTGCATGTTTCTTCACTCAGATTTGGAAAGTTATTCCCCGAGTCTGCCGGCGTAGTAAACAGTGTCCCTCCTTTTCTTTAAAGCGTCCCTTGGTTTTTCTTTGGTCTTCTGCAACACTTTGAGGATTAGCCAACCCCCGTGCGCACTCACTGAAAGTTCGGGTGGGTCTCTCGGCCCCCAGCGTACTCTACTTTTAACTCCACGCTGGGCTCTAAGGGACAGCGGTGCTGTCCACGGCCCTGAGCTGGCGACCCGTGTCCCCCTGACTGACAGATAGAATGTAGTCCTTGCATTTACATGTGCTCCTCCGCACAGCGCTGTGGAAAACACGCTCAGGGGCCTCAGAGAGAAGGAATCACGTCCATCCATCCATCTGGGCTGCACAACCCCCAGGGTTCCCGGGAAAGCCTAGGGCTGGGGAAGAGGGCTTTTAATCTGACAAGTTTCACACACCACCGTCTATGTGCCATGACCAAGCAGAATCACCAAAATCCACCCTAGACACGACTGTTTCCATTTAAATCCTAATGAATTAAACACTTATACTGAAACAGAACGGTTCTTCCTTCAGTGATGGGCAAAGAGGGCGGTCCTCTCGGAGGGCAGGGCAGCCACTCCTCTGCTGGGACATGAAATCGGTGGCTGGCTTCCCAGCAGGAACAGAGAAACAAGCTTCAGGCACGCAGACTCCCACTTGCTATTTAACTTCTTTAAGTATATTGCCCATAATTCTAGTCTCTACCTTGACCTAGCATGAGAGGTAAACAAAAGATGTTTGCCGTAAAGGATACAGCTTGGCCCTTGACCAACATGGGATTTGGGGTGCCCACCCCCCACGCAGTTGAAAACCCACATAGAAATTAAACTGCCCTCTGCACATGCGGATTCCCAGCTGCCAGCTGGTCCTTGAACAACACAGGTTTGAACTGCACAGGTCCAGTGAACTGAGTGGGTCGCCTAAAAAAAAATCCGCGTATCAGTGGACCTGCACAGTTCAACCCCGCCTTGCTCAAGGGCCAAATGCATATGGAAAACAATCAAACACCTCATATTTAGCCTAAATACTGGGGTGGACAGCGAAGGAACGAAGGAGGAGAAAGTTGTTTAAAAAAAAGCTTCGGTTTATCAAAACATCATAATTCTATAATGTTTAAAAAGACATGCAATATTGTTTCATTATCTGGTATTCAGTGACTCAAGTCTTGCTAAAAATAAGTGTCCTACTATAGGCCTTTAAATAAGGGACCTGCTTTAATAATTAAATGGTAATTTGTAAAAAGCAGAATGCTGTCAATAACACAGTAGAGTAAGATGTTCCTTTTAAAACAACCAATTAGCCATCCGTCAGCAAATAAAAGCTCCCCTGTGGGTGTTGTGGGGACTTGGGGGTGGGGGTGGGGCTCACCCACCCAGACATGCAGTGACAGGCAGACAAAACTCGGTACCGCCTGTGGAACCAGTGGACCCACAGGCCTGCCCAGACCCCTCTCCCACAGCTGGAATGTAAACCTAGAGAATGCCAATGCTGACCTGGGCAGACATACAGACGAGAGAGAGAATTTGCACAGGTCCTGACGTCCTGCAGGGAGAGTCCAGTATACCACTAGAGCAGCGGTTCCCAAAGTGGGGCACACACCCCACAGACGGGCAATTTGATTTTTAAGGGAAGCACTTCGAGAATGAGTTATTAACAGTGAATTTTTTGCATTTTTTATGGTTCTAGGGGCCTCATATATAGTATATGAATATATAGTGACATATTTATGCATTTTAGTTCTGTTATGTTTTGAAACTTTATTTGCTATTTTTTCATATGATTTCATATTATTATTTAACAATTTCTTAGTGATTTCTTCCTCAGTACTTCAACTGTCCTTTTGTTCTTTTATTTTTCTCTTTCATGGATGCCATGTTCTTTGGAAGCTTGTTTAGACCAAGTTAATGGCCTTTTAGGCTTCCTCCACGTGAAAAGATGTTCACTTTTGTAATAAGAATTGCATGTCACGGGGGCGGGGGGGGGATCAGGATTTTAGAGATGCTTAGGTGGGGCATGGCCAAAAACAGGTTGGGAACCACTGCAGTAGAGCAAAAAAAACAAAACAGAGCTTGGTCACAGCAGAGGCAGCAGTAAGGGCAACTTCCCAGCACGCACCACCTAGGGAAACACTGCCCAGGCGCTGATCTCCCAGGCTGTGGCCACCTCTCAGGTGCTGATCTCCAAGCTGTGGCCACCTCTCCCGGCTGTAGCCACCTCTCCCAGGCTGTGGCCACCTCTCCCGGCTGTGGCCACCTCTCCCAGGCTGTGGCCACCTCTCCCGGCTGTGGCCACCTCTCCCAGGCTGTGGCCACCTCTCCCGGCTGTAGCCACCTCTCCCGGCTGTGGCCACCTTTCCCAGGCTGTGGCCACCTCTCCCGGCTGTGGCCACCTCTCCCGGCTGTGGCCACCTTTCCCCAGGCTGTGGCCACCTCTCCCGGCTGTGGCCACCTCTCCCGGCTGTGGCCACCTCTCCCAGGCTGTGGCCACCTCTCCCAGCTGTGGCCACCTCTCCCAGCTGTAGCCACCTCTCCCAGGATGTGGCCACCTCTCCCGGCTGTGGCCACCTCTCCCAGGATGTGGCCACCTCTCCCGGCTGTAGCCACCTCTCCCAGGCTGTGGCCACCTCTCCCGGCTGTGGCCACTTCTCCCGTGGAGGAGAGGAAGGTGTGAGTGAGTGCCTGGCTACCCAGCTGTGCAGGAAGAGGCTAGAGCCGCCCAGCAGGACCTCCATGGCTGGGAGGACGAAGGGCTGGGAAAGAGGCAGATGAGAATTTCAAAGGGAATGAAAGGAGTCTGATGCAGCAGGAAGTCCACCCGCCAGCCTCTGGGCGTATCACACCCAGGGATCTCCCACTGGGTCTGCAGGCACCCCCACCGCCTGAGCACTAAACCCCCACATCCCCTCCCTCTGTGCCAGCTCCTTGTGTGTGCTTCTGTGTGCAGCACGAGAGAGAATTCTGGCAGACAGGGAGCCCACTCAGAAAATGGGCAAGGGAGAAACCACATACTTGAGCTATACCACCACCTTCTGGAAAACAAGAGAGGTTTCCAGCGAGTTGTAAGAACCAGAGAAGCCATAAAAGCTTAAGGATTCAGTCACAAGAGGGAGCATGAAGAATGCAGGAGGTGCACCCATAGAGAGGGAGAAAACCCAGATAATATAACACCATCAAACACAACACCCCATAGAAGCTAACTAGCAAAGACTTTGGAGGTGTCTGCTGCTTCAAATGTGAAAACAGCAATGAAAAATTGCAAGGAACACGAAAAACCAAGAAATCATGTCATTGCAAAAAGAAAACAATTTTCCACTGAGTTCGAAGGCATAGAAATTGTGATCTAGCTGAAAAATAATTCAAAATTGCTGTCTTGACAAAGCTCAATGAGCTACAAGAAAACTCAGAAAGTCAATTCAGCAAATTTTCAA